CAATAAGATTCAAACTTAGGGTGTCAGAAAGGAACAACATTTTCCCCAGGTCTCACACTTGTTACTGAGATTCTTGTGATATTTGGTGATTTTCTTAAAGCCCCTCCTGCTGGCTTCATGTTATTATATGAGAATCTCAGCTTTCTTTCTTCTGAAGGCTTCTGGCTCTTATGGTTGCAGAGTAAAGCTTGAAAACATGAAACCAGAAGGCAAATAAAAAGATCCAAAATGTATTTTTTTTTAATCTCATGAATTCTAAGCCAGTTTCGCTTTTTTGGAAGGCCTTACTCATGATTTTTGAACTTCTGTAGTAGGCAATACTAAAGTTACTCAGTTCAAACACTGGTCTTGTTTAAATTCAGGGCATGCAAAAGTTGATTTATCCTCTTTTCCGATCAATCTGAATTACATAATAGGTCAAATTCTGTTCATAGTTATACTGGTGTAAAGTCCAGAGTAGCTGCATTGAAGTTAATAGATTCCATGGCCAGAAGGGATCACTGTAATCATCTAGGCTGACCTCCAGAACAATACAGAGCATAGAAATATGGTTACCCTGGATTACACCAGTGTAAATTAGAGCAGAATTTGACCCAAAGTCTATAACAAGTCTTTCTGGAATTTAAATATTTTTTTTCAGAATGATCACTTATTGTGATGCTACCCAGGGTTGTGAGGCACCTCATCACTGTCAGCCCTTAGCGTGAAGCAGTCTTGTCTGTGCCTGCTGCGACCAGCTCCCTGAAACCAACAGCTTCTGGAAGCACAATCTCTACCTTCCAGGCCCCTGCCGACCTTGCTCTCTTTGTACAGGAGAGACAGGCACACATCAACCCCCAAATACTTGAAGTGTTCCCTGCATTGTCCAGCCCCTTAACCACTGAAGACTCACAGAATTACCTGGCCTACTATTCCTAATGGAACAGTACATACCACCTTGTGAGATTCAACTTGGGACCAGCACTTCACTTAACACCACTGCACGTAGCTATTTATAGTGAAAACAAGAATAAGCTTATTATCAAAGAACAAAGATTAAAGTGGTAGGAATAAGATATGCGAAACAAATGGTTACATATAAACCAAAATCATAACATGTTTTCTAGAGACTAAACTAACCAATTCCTCTCTTGTCTAAAGAAGTTTATCTCACCCAGAGTTCTCTGTAGCATTTTCAACCAAGCCTGGCTGAGATGCCTTTTTCATGAAGCAAAAGTGCTATCCTTTTATTCCCTCAGAGAAGGGTGCCTGGGTGTCTCCTTTGGCCTCCTCATCCCAATATACTTAAGTAAACCTTTGATATGCACCTCAAGACAAAGTTTTCTTCCTGTTAGTTCCTTTCTGAAGTTCCTTCTTACAATTCTCCGTTTGCATTCAGTTCAGACTGAATTGTGGGTCCCATTGGGAAGGAGACAATATTCAATTTACATGTAAATAGACCTCTCCCATCTGACAGAAAACCTGTTTTCACTTTTGTTGGTGCCTAATGCCTTGATGCAGACTTTAAGAACATGTTTTCAGGATATACATAACTTCTTGCATAGTATCTATACACACATGCCAGCTGGCATTAAGAAGTTCTTGGGTCACATGTACATTGTTTGCTTGTTTACTTTAAATATTATTTTGTACTGGTATAGAAGTTTCAGTAGCAAAGAATTTAATTTAATCTTGTTTGCAGTGTTGTGGAGTGAATAACCATTCTGATCAATTACATTTCAGTAGCATTAAGTTAAACATTTTAGGGTGGTATCGTCTTTATATACATGAAATTAAAAACAAAAGCAAACAATTATTAAATTAAAAAAAATCTTTATTTGCTAAAGCTATGTTGACATTTTATAAAATGGTATGATGAACCCATGTGGGATCACATAAAGGCCTTTTCTTTTTTAAGTTTGGCTTGCTCTGCATATACTGATGAAGTTTTTACTTTTTTTTTTTTTTTTTTAATAAAGACAGACTAGTATATTCTGTCTGGTATCAAGGGAATTTGGGATTAATTAGATTATAGCTTTTAGATATTTCTTCAAATCATATCATCAACCATCTAAGTAGGAATGAAATAATTCTGAACCAAACTTTGCGATCTTGAACTTGGCTTACGTACTTACTGTAACAAATATGTAACAACAAACAATGGATCCATTATGGATTGGCACTCAGCTGGTGGATATGAACTCCTGTGAATGCAAGATGCTTGAGAATAAGCATTGCCTAACTGTTGGGAGTATTGCAATGTCCTGGCATTGTGAGTAATGTTACTTGCTATTGGATGTGGAGCATACCTGTTCAAGTGTTTGTGATTATATTGCCCTTAAGTGGCTGTCCCATAGAAGATACAGCAAGTCTTAATACTACTACTATCTAATCAGGGTCTTCCATCTTTTGGGCAAGGCTCCAAAGTCCATTGAAGCCAATGGTCGTTTTTCTTTTCACTTCAGTGGGCTTTGGACCAGATCTTATTAGGGGTTTGTGGGTTTCCTGGAAGCAATGGTCCTAACTTCCAAGTTATATGGTTGATGCCACATGGGTACAGTTTAGCTGGTGACCATGGTGTCTATTATTTGTCTAAGCAGGGTCTGAATGAATGCTTCCCTGACAGCTAGCTGGGAGGGGGAGAGACTGTGGGTGTGGTTATGTAAATACAGTTTGCTCCTCCTGTTTTGCTTAGATATTCAGCAGATGGAGCAGTATTTTGCTCATTGTAATTAACTTGGCTGGTGTTGGGTCACAAATCACATTAGTACTGAATGCAGGGGGAGTGAAATGCTGTTATCAATGTTGTGATTATTGTGGGAACGCAGGGAAGCAGGACTGTGTTTAACCTCTTCCAAATGGGGGCGGGTCACCCTTAGCAGAGAGGACCTTGGCGAGCCAGGGGCTCGACTGCCAAAGCCCTGGGAAAGGGGGGGGGGGGGGGGTAGGAGTCCTGGCCAGGAGGCTGCAGGCTGTCCCCATCCCCCTCTCCAGATTGGCTTAACCTGTTCTTTTCCACTATTCAAAGAATATAGCTAAATAGGCTGCATTAGGAGTCTCTTTTGTTATTTTAATTGCTTAATCAGAGCTGAAACCAGTTGTGGTTGGACTGTGTTTCTGCCCTGTTTGCTGAAAGCTAAAATCACTGAGAGCTGAAATCACTTGAGATGGGGCAGTGTTTCTGCCCAGTCTGCAAAAGAGCTGAAAATCACTGAGAGACTGATGTGCAGAGGTCACAGTAGAGAGGCCGTTGACTGACCGTTAGCTGGCGAATGAGTGACCAGCAGGGTGGCAGCGGAGAGGTGCGACAAGAGCAGTGAGCAGGTGGCCAGTGTGTGACCAGCAGAGCAAATAAGGTGCCTCTTTACCGTGCACCCAGGGTGGGAGGTGAACTCTGCAGATGTACCTCTGAACTCTGGGTCTGCACTGACCAAGGACAGCCACTGTGAGTGGGGTACAGAGAAGGGTCAGGAATGTGAAAGTGACTTTTGGGTTGCTGGACTTAAGAACCTGAGGGGGGGGGGAAAGGCACGGCCCAACCTACTTGGGGGGTGGGTCTTTTACTCATGGTTTATGTTTATAAACCCTGTTTGCAGTGTTTTCCCAAGTGAATTCCGAGTTACTTCCCTCCTTTTATTAAAAGTTTCTTTTCTACACTCTGACTCAGTGCTTGTGAGTGGGGAAGTATTGCCTCTCTGAGGCACCTAGGAGTGGTGTGTAATTTTCCCAAGTTACTGTGCGGGGGAGGCAGGGGCTCGAGCCGGTTCTGTGTTGTATCGATGAAAAGGAACCCTTAGATATTAAACCTGGCCTTGGTTGCTGCTGGCTCCACCTGGCAGAAGGGTTACATTTGTACCACAGTTTTGTTACAATAAGGATAAATATTTACAACTGAGGATTTATACAGTTAAGAAACTGAAGTTCTCATATCATCAATGCCCTAAACATGGTTCAGCTGGGCTGTATTCCAAATGAGAAAGTAAAATGTGTCTCTGACCTGTAAAATATTACTAGGAGAGTGCTCTGAAAAAAGTAGCCAGCCTCCATGACTGACATTTCGTATGAGTCATTAAGTCATGTTTGTAACTTTTATTTCCAACAAAACAAAAGCCAATACTTGTTAATACACCCTGTTATTTGGCTTCAGATTTTATATTCTCCAAGAGGAGTGAAGTTTCACTTGACTAGCTTTGTATGCTTAGACTATTTTGTGGATTCAGTAGGTGTTTTCCATGAAGTATCACATGAAAAGGCTGGGGGATGCATCCTCTAGACCAGTGGTCTCCAAACTTTTTTGATCGCGCACCCCATCAGTAAAAAAAAATTGAGCACGCATCCCCTGCCGCGCCGGCTCTACCATTTTTAAAAAAAAAAAAAAAAAAAAAAAAAAGCTGCTCGGACTCCCGCCTGAACTGCCGAAGCAAAAAAAAAAGTGCTCCTCCTGCCGTGCACCCCCAAGGATTCTCTTGCACACTCCACTTTGGAGACCACTGCTCTAGACCAAGAATTTCCATCTTCTAGGCTGTGGACTAGTGGTGGCCTGGAGAACACTTGCTGGTGGTACACAGATAGCTGGCTCCAGTGCTTAATTTGTAATGAAAGAAGTGCTGGGACTCAAGCAATTTTTTTTACTTTCATAACTGATGCTGCAATCCCAGAGGTGCTGGGGCTATGAACTCCCAAGCTTAGAGGTGCTGGTCTCAGCACCGGCAAGCCCCGGCACAAATTAAGCACTGGTTGGCTGATCACAGGATGTTGTTTCTCCTCTTTGTTTCCAGCTTCTAAATTCCAGGAAAAGAAACTAGGAAAATACTTAATGTATTATTAATATTACTTCTCCATGTATGCAATTGCTGTAGCTGACACAAAGCTGACAGGAGATCATGAACAGGGAGGGAGGTGGTCCACCCTATGAATAGAGCCATCGCTCTATTAAGAGGGGGTCCAGCCTATGAACACATTTTAAAAAAACCACTGCTCTAAACTATTTGCTGTCATCCAAGTCAACCTTCACTGGCGAATCTCCGATGGATACTAATGTGAGAATTAAAATATAGTTATTTTTTAACAAGCTGGTTTTAATCAGCTGGACTAATTACCTGTGATAGTCAATTCATTGCCCCAGCTTTGCTCCCACTTCATTTGTGTTCATGAAACACTATGCAGAGTTATAGTTTGCTGGCAACTATAAAGAGATGTATATATGTTAATAAGGACATGTGCCTAATACCTACACTTACAGTAATTTCCTTAAAATGATAGTATCTATATAAGCTCTTGCAGCTGCCTCTCCCACACACCCTATCTCAAGTTTAGTTCTAGAAATTGCTTGAACTGTGTTCATAGGGGACTGGTTGGAATTACACCATTTCTAAAACAGTTTCTCTCTCTTGGTGATCTTTTTCCTCTCTACTTTGGAGGTCCCCTTTTTCTCCCTCCTCTGTCTTGCTTTTCACATCTTCATCATTCTGTTGCTTATCTCTTTTTTCTCTCTCTTGTTTTGATGGGTTCTTGTTTTGTTTTTGTTCCTGAAAGAGAAGTGAAAAATCATTACAAAAATATCTAACATAAAGAATGTTTCAATATCTTGAGTTTTGCAGTTATTCTAAAAGTGGTCCCTCAGCCATGCATGCTCACAGGAAAGTGTGTGTGATAGAGCATTGGGTGGGGTGAGGACTGAAATACTTCTCTGGAGAAAGGGAAGGGAACTCATCCTTTTGCCCCTTAGAATTGTTTTGGCTGTCGGGAATGGAGCAAGTTCCAATAAGGTACGCCAGTGGCTAAGTTGATTGAGAGAGCTTAGCAATGAAGGAATTTGCTGGAATCTGTAAAGATGACCCTGATATAGAAGGGGAGGAAAATTCTGTCTCCTGTTGGTGGCATTGGTATGCTCCGCCAGAAAGAGTTGAGCAGTCAGAGAGGGGGGAGGAGAGAGGAGGAGCTCACCAAAACAAGTGTAACTTTTCATTTATTAAAGAAGGAGCTGTACTCTGAAAAATCAGGTTATAGGTATTTCAAATTGGATACCCAAAATTAGTGGATACTTTTTATCTTAATCTCTATACCTTCATTCCTCATCTGTAAATTGGGGATAATAATACTCAGTCACTTAATGAGAATGTTACTAAGATAAATTAACATTTGTGAAACACTCCATGTCACTACTGTAGTGATGAGTGCCATAGAAAATCCCAGGTGAAAATTAATAACACTGGCTTTAAATCAGGGTTTGAATAGTGTGCAGTAAATAAGGCCTGGGGCCACACATTGAACAATGAAGATAAAACTCAATACTGAATTGTTGCTCATTTAGTAATCACCATCCATTCTGTGCACTGAATGAGGGAGTGGTCCTGTGGAAAAAATGTGTGATCATATAATTAAGACTACCGTAATGCACATGCACAAAAGGGATGAATTAAGGTTGTAGAGGCAACCTTAATTCTGGCTTTCCTAACTTTTGAGTGCTTGACTACCTTAGCAACCTTATTAATGTGCTTTTAACATAGTGTTTTGTGTGTACAGATGCTCCCCAACTTGCGCAAGCGTTGCGCTGCATTCCGGAACGCCTTGTGTAAGTCAAATTTTGCGTAAGTTGGGAACGTATACCCGACAATTACACTCATTTCCCCCCTCCAAAAAAAGCGTATGGAACTTTTTCCGTAAGTGCAGATTTGCGTAACCTGGGGAGTGTCTGTAATATATATTTACAGTAGTTCAGGTTGCTTAACTCTTTCCATTGCAAGCCCTTCTTTTAATTGATTGTTACTTTGACAGACAAAGTTTTTGGGATGAAACTTTTCATGTTTGCTTTTTGCCTTAGGCTAAATATTTCTTGAAAGTTTCAGCAAAAATGATACGGCTGTTTACAAGAATAGGTCTTGGAGAAAAAGATTTTTCCCCCTCGTCAACCAATTTTCCCATTTTTCCCCTTCAACCAATTTTTTCCCTTTTAGCCAATTTTTCCTCCTCTTTCTTTCAAGAGTTCTAATATTCCATAGGTGTGCAGCTGAGACTTGAAACTTGGCAGAAGGATGGTCCTGGGGCCAGAGATGTGCCTTTTGCTGTTCCAGGAAAATCCATCCAGATTTGGTTGACTTATTAACCTCTAATAATCTCCTATTATACATGCTCCGTAGTTATAAGCCAAGCCTCAATGATGTTGAATGCAGAGACATAACTCTCCAGTACTTCTTGCTGCTGATTTACAGCTGTGCATTTTATCAAAGAAAATAAAATGCTGATTACTTTGAACAGCAGATATTTCGGTGGAAGTCAACCATGATATATTTCTGTAACCTCAAAATCTTTCACTATTTAGTCCTTTTTAAAATTTTGCTGTAGCATTTGGGTATCTTTGTAGTGGGACTATTAAATTGCTGCCTTTTTCTACCTCAGAGGGTGTTGCATTTCAGTGGTGGACAAAGTGATTCCTAAATGCTGTAATTTCTATAGTCACTTAATGAAGTTTGAAGAGTCCTTTGGGATCCATTTTGATGAATGATGCTGTATAAATGTAAGATCACTTATTCTGTAGCTGCCTGCCAGTTATAATGATGTGCTCTCTAGAACAAATATGCAGCAAAACACACAAAATGGACAGGTCAAATCTGTAATAGTTAAGAAAAAACCCCAGAAATCCAGGTTACCTTTCGATTCTGCAATTTATACCACCCACGAGGATATCTTGCAATGCTGTCCATGTATTTTTCCGCCCTTTGCCAGTCTTCATGCCACCTCTGAACTTGATACTGAGGCTCACACTTTGTAATCCTATCCAGAATGGCCTGGTTTTCTTGGCTCACTCTCAGTAGTTCCTTCTCTCGCTTTTCCCTGTTTAAACTAGAGGGGGAAACACATACAAAGGAAAATCAAGCTTCTGCCCAGTTACAAATGTGCTTGAAGAATTTGTGGATCAAAGCTGGAACCTGAGAGAGAAATTCTCTGAAGCTGTTATACTTCTCCTAAGAGGAGTTTCTTCTCCTTATTAACAAGCCCTCACAACTCAGCCCTTTGTCCTTCTGAAGGAGATATGTTTTGTTTGAAGAAGTTTTACACTCTGCCTCTCAGATGAGACCTTCAAAATTGAGACTCTGTCTGCTCTCTGTATATACTAAAGATTCCTTGGCACTTTTTATAAGATGCCAGCCCTAAACTTATATCTTGTCCTATAACCAATCCTCTAGCCCCAAACTATTTTTGTTGCTATGTTGAGGGAGATAGCATGCTTCGCTGCTGAGGTGTTAATAAACAATCATTGTAGGCATCTGGCATTAGTCCTCTGTTTCCAATTATTAAACGAAAATGTCTCACCCAGATTTCAGATATAAACCAGATCAATTGGTTGTGGGAGAAGGTGCAGAGAAGTGTCTGGTCAAAAGTTCTTCACAAATATTTCATGACTGGTTAGTGCCAGAGTTAAATGATATTTGGTTCTGTTCAATATCTTCATCAATGATTTAGATAATGGCATAGAGAGTACAAGTTTGCGGATGATACCAAGCTGGGAGGGGTTGCAAGTGCTTTGGAGGATAGGATTAAAATTCAAAATGATCTGGACAAACTGGAGAAATGGTCTGAAGTAAATAGGATGAAATTCAATAAGGACAAATGCAAAGTACTCCATTTAGGAAGGAACAATCAGTTGCACACAAAAAATAGGAAATGACTGCCTAGGAAGGAGTACTGCGGAAAGGAATCTGGGGGTCATAGTGGACCACAAGCTAAATATGAGTCAATAGTGTGACGCTGTCGCAAAAAAAGCGAACATCATTTCAGGGATGTATTAGCAGGAGTGTTGTAAGCAAGACATGAGAAGTAATTCTTCCACTCTACTCCACTCTGATTAGGCCTCAACTGGAGTATTGTGTCCAGTTCTGGGCTCCACATTTCAGGAAGGATGTGGACAAATTGGAGAGAGTCCAGAGAAGAGCGACAAAAATTATTAAAGGTCTAGAAAACATGACCTGTTAGGGAAGATTCAAAAAAATTGGGTTTGTTTAGGCTGGAAAAGAGAAGACTGAGAGGACATAACAGTTTTCTAGTATGTAAAAGGTTGTTACAAGGAGGAGGAAGAAAAATTGTTTTTCTTAACCTCTGAGGATAGGACAAGAAGCAATGGGCTTAAATTGCAGCAAGGGAGATTTAGGTTGGACATTAGGAAAAACTTCCTGTCAGGGTGGTTACGCACTGGAATAAATTGCCTAGAGAGGTTGTGGAATATCCATCATTGGAGATCTTTAAGAGCAGGTTAGACAAACACCTGTCAGGAATGGTCTAGGATCGGGATCGGCAACCTTTGGCACGTGGCCTGCCACGGTAAGCACCCTGGCGGGCCGGGCCGGTTTGTTTACCTGCTGCGTCCGCAGGTTTGGCTGATCGCAGCTCCCACTGGCCGCGGTTCGCCACTCCAGGCCAATGGGGCAGCGGGAAGCGGTGGCCAGCACATCCATCGGCTCATGCCTCTTCCCTCCACCCCCATTGGCCTGGAACGGTGAACCGCGGCCCATGGGAGCTGCGATCGGCCGAACCTGCGGACGCAGCAGGTAAACAAACCGGCCCGGCCCACCAGGGTGCTTACCCTGGTGGGCCGCGTGCCAATGGTTGCCTATCTCTGGTCTAGATAATTAGTCTTGCCACGAGTGCAGGGAACTGGACTAGATGACCTCCCGAAGTCCCCTCCAGTTCTATGATTCTATGATGTCAAGGGAGCTACAATGATATGTATGCTACACAGCAACAATATAGGTTAATTTTCAGTAAATGCTAATGTGTGTGTAATATAATGCTCATGAGGATATGTACATCCATTAGCTCAGGTTCAACGGTATTTCAAATTATTCCTCATATATTTTTAATTTCTCATGGGACCATGCTGAAGTCTGGAAACTCCCTGTTATATAGCAGTTGCTGTTCTGGACTTTACCTGAACTACTGAACTGCACCCTTCTGTCTAGAGACACGTTGGAGCCTGATGAGCTATCATTCCCTCATCAACCAGTCTGTCTGTAAATGAATCATGAGGGTTAACAAATGACACTTGACTTGCACAAAACATTCCCATGGCAGATTCCGGTGTCCTCGCTTCACTTCTGAATTCTCTTCTTACTAGTGATCATGCATTGTTCTGCTATACTCTGTTGAGTATGAATTTCTCTTGGAATTAAAATGGTACAAACAGTTTCTCTCCTTTGAGAATTATCTGAGAGTGCTTACTCATTCTCCCTTGAGCAATGACTAAAGTCCTGATTTACTTACTCAATATGGTTACTGTACACTGTTCACTTTGTTGTTCTTATTTCATTTCCATGCTTTGGACCTACGACTTTCCAGTGATGTCTGTGGGAATAACTGGCAAAGCAAGTGGCAGTAACTGTCAGCAACAACAGATTAGTTGGGACATGATAATACGTTTGTTTCATTTATTTCCTCTAAACTAGGTCAACGATCACTGTCTCTATCCCTCAGTTATTATACTGAAGAAATTAATCCAAAAACTGGTATCTGTTTTTCTACAGAGACTAGAAGGATGAACCTGGAGCTGGAATCCCTATGACAGGGCAGGAAAATGAATATCTAAAATATTAGCACTCCTGAGGCCTCCTTTAAATACATGTCCTTGCTGAGCAGATTATCCATTGCTATGTTTATCACTGTCACAGTAACTTGATAACCCTATACAAGTTCTACTGCTGATGTTACCTTTTGGCCTGATAGTAATTTTTGTTATCAATTCGCCCTTTCGTCCTCATGATGGAGGACATCTTCTCCAGTAGCAAATGATTGTCTCTTTCGATGACTGAAAGCCGTTCCTTTTCAAGCTTCATGCATAAAAGAGGCAGAGAAATATTTGTTATAGTCCAATCAAAACAGCAGCAGAGTGCTGTGGATATTTTAACAAGAGGCTCCAACGCTGGTTCCACACACAGACTGAGACAAAAACTGGCAGGGTAAAAATTCACCCCCAGTGCAGAGGTCCTGCAGAAGAACCTCTTCACCACATAAGATCCACATAAGTTAAGGTTTAAGTAGTATACAGTGCTTTTTTTGGGGCCCTCAGCAGTAAGCACCCTGACTTCAGTGGGCTTTGGATCAGGTCCAGGAACAGGCCATCCCTGTCCTTGGCCGGGTTACAATCTGATTTAAGGTGGGAAGCAACAAGTGGGTTTAATAGGCAAATGGAAGGAGCTGCAGCAGGAGGATGAGGGTAACAGTGATAAAACATGTCGCTGCAGAGACTAGTTATGTGCACACTTAGCTAGTTTTAAGTCATTTTTTAAAATTAGTTTTAAGATCTAAACATGGAGTATATTAACGATATCCGTAAACTCAGTACAACATAGAGATTCATTTGTGTAATGTGAAAAGATACCATGGTGATGGGAGCAATGTAGGAACCTAAAAAGGAGAACAAGGTGGGATGGGAAGACCTTATACCTAGCCCGGAGCTAGCCAGACCTGTGAGAAATGTTTGTGAACAGATGCCCTTTGGTGAAATCTAATCCATTCCAAAAGCCCCTCCCCTCCCTAAGAAGTGCTCTTCAGAAGTTTGTTTCTGTGCCCCAAGGATGCCATGTCTAGCAGGGGTGGTTTGAAAGGAACCAGAGAAGCAGGGACTCTGTAAGAGGCAGAGCAATCATTCTACCATTACCTTCAGAACTAAACTTAAACAACTTGCTCCCAAGTGCCTCTCCTCCCCCAGGGTCATTGAAAAATGTATTTTGTGCCTAATGCTTCACCCCCACCCCCACCCTGCCTCTTTTGCTATTTGTTTCTCTGAAGGCTTGCATGGCCTAAATAAGATAAATATGAAATATTACCACATGCTGCTTTGATAACCTTCAATAGCTAATGTTACTGTAGTGAACTATTGGGGGGGCTCTTAGTGCATCTTTTTTGTTTGCTTGGCTTTATAAGCAAAACAGGTCAGATGTAGCTCAAATTGTATTATGAATATACCTAAAAATGGTGCTGTTAAGTAATCCCATCAGGCTCTAAAAACCCAGAGGGATAGTGACTACAAAGGAGAAGAGAACCTGGTTACAGGAAGATAAACTTACTTGCAACATTAGAGACAGTCTCTCTATATTTACATAGCACCTCTAAAAGCATCATGTTACATGGATGGGGAACTTAGTCCCACCCAAAAGTGTCAGGGTGCCAGTAGCATAAAGGGACATACCCAAGATTGGCAGCTTCAGATTTGACTTTTTTTTTTTTTTTTTTTTTAATATGAAAAGGCAACCTCCCTATTTTTGTTTCTTTATTTTTTTTTTTTTTTTTTTTTTTTTTAATATGCATCGGCAAACTCCATATATTTTTTTCCAAAGGAAATTCTTCAGTGCTCTTTTACAGTAAAGAAAGGGGGAGGAGGAGGAAGTGGCAACAACCAGCACAGATGCCAAATCCTACAATAGTGTATAAATGTGTATTCATAAGGGAGAAATTAATTGTTTTGATAGCAAAATAGTTTCAAGCTCTCTGGGGGTTGCTATAAAGTAGGATGAGATTATAAACAGGCCAAATCCTGAAGTCCTTACTCAGGCAACACTCTCTTTGCCTGAGGGAGACTGTATATAGGTGTTGTTTTTTTTTTAAAGTGGACAGAGACCATTATTCTAGGAGAATAGAGTTCATTTTTCCATTGTCATTTTCTTTTTATAAAGAAACACTTGCCTTTTAATCATAGAGGGATAAAGATTTTGAATGAAAATTACCAGTCAAAACTATCCCTTGTTACATTTCTTACATTTTGATTATGCCAACATGTCATAAGATTGCCCTGTGATAATGTTCAGGTTATTATTGTTTCAGTTACAGTAGGCTTTTTTGTTGTTTTCTTTCTTTTTTTTCTTTTTGATGTGCAGGAATAGTTTTTAGGCAGGATCCTTGTGTTCTGGACCTGGCAATTAGAGGGAATTTGATGCATCAAGTCAGAGTTTATTTGATGTGGGACTGGGAGGGCAATATCCACTGGTCCAGTTAGGCAGACCATGGTATAGGAGTGAAGCTAAAAGTTAGACCATTTAATCTTCTTATACCCCTGTTGATCTGCCTGTCTTACTTACTTGGGGTGGGGTGGGGGGAACACTATGGTGGGCATTGGCATATGCATTCCTGTTCAATGCTAATTTACTTAATTAAATGATATAACCAAAAAGATACCTTTAACTTCTTTAACTTCAAGTGAAGATGGCCATATGTTAGAGGAGTAGTGGTGTCCACTACAGGTTTGGCAGTCTGGATCTGCAGCAGAAAAAAATAATCATTATCCATTTTTGTTGAAAATCAAATCCTTACAAACTGTTATGGGAAATGTTTAAATTGTTTGCCCACTGTATTGTTAGCACTAATGTCATATTTGACACATTCATAATGTCAGCAATGCCAAGCCTGCCTAGCAGGGATGCAAGTAGGGTGGTACCCTCCAGTACGCAGTACCTGCAAGAGATTTTTAGCAGATATGGGGTACTGGAAAGACATGGGGCTAGCCCCCTTCGGGGAGGGGCTGCTCCCTGCTCCTTAAAGGAGCAGAACGCAGATTCACTCTTTATATGGCTTTAACAGCACAATACATATGCTAACAAACTTAAACAAAGGTTTTGTTTAAGTTTGTTAGCATATGTATTGTGCTGTTACATTGGTCAGGAGTCCTCAAGAGGGGAGGGGTGGGGGGGATGAAAGGTGTTTAAACAGTGTTTTTGATTCTGTTTCTTCCCATTGGTCTGAATTATCCATGACATCCATACTGCATCACATCAAGTCCAAATCATTAGAGGAATGCCTCTGCCTGCACTGACCAGAGGATGTTTGGATTCTGATGTCAGCCCACTTCTGCAGCCTAATGGGAATCAGGTGTTGTTCCAGTGTACACAGAATTCTTCTTTGCAGCCAAACTAGCCAAACTAACATGCATTTTGTTAACTGGAACTGGAGCAGCAAAACAAAGAAAACAAATGCCTCATTTTCCAGCTTTGTGGGTGAGAGAACTATAAGTGAAGATTATAATGCCGGACACTGACAGCCTTAAACCAGCTGCCTCAGGAATCTGCCAAGAACTTTGCTGAAAATACGTTCCTCATCTTAGCAATGGAGCTAAGACTTATCACACGTTTGCCCACCTTTATTTGAATGAAGCTCCTTCTGATCTGACAGCTCAGGCATTGTCTGTTTCATCCAGAACAATTTACAAACTTGGAACCTAATCCTGTAAACCCTTAATCATTTGATCAATCGCACTGAAGACAATGGGACTATTTGCATGACTATGGACCACTTTTTTGGGCTGGTAAAAGTTTCAGGAGTCTGCTCCTATAAAGGAAGTTGAATCCTCCATTGAAATGCAATGTTTGGGTACAATACCATAGAGCAGTTTAGGATACAGTTCTACTTAAAATTTGTCTTTTAATAAGTCATACATGTGTTGAAATGGCTTCTCACCCAACTCCCATATTTCATATAAACTAAACAGACTGAATACTACATTTTTTTTTTTGGGGGGGGGGGAGTGAGTAGTTAAGCATGTTGATGTTTGTATATACAAAGGGGGGTATCAGAGGGGACAGGGAGAGCGTGGGAGCCCTGGGCTGGGAGCGGGGTGGGGAGGAGTCACATGGGGAGGTCACATACCCCTCCCGCCCCTTGTGTCCCTCCTATGAGTGCAGTATCAGCAAGAAATGATTTCTGCTTGCACCACTGCTGCCCAGGGAGGTAGTGGGAAATGAAGATAATAGGGACAATTGTTTTCCATCTCCAATAAAACTCAAACCATTCCTCCCTGAGAGAAGAAAGAATACATACGGGTGCCAGGACTGCTTATGCCTGCTTTACCCAGGAGTGCTGAAGTCTAGTCTGGTTCCAGGCACAGGTTCCCTAACATATGTCCCTGGAGCAATAGATACTTTGGGCTGTTGCAGGGATGCAGAATCACTGGAATGTAAGAATGACCTAGCTACTCCCTCCCCTGCCCCCAATGTATCTGGAAATGTCCCTGACTCAGGGCCTCCTGAGGAGGTGTGGATCTGGGTGTGAGGAACCATGCAACTCCTGCGGGGGGGAGTTCTTGTGTTCAGGGTATTTTTCATGACCTCACTGTTATAGCAATGCCTTCATATGTATCCTCCGATGCAAAACTACTGATATAATCACCGAATAGAGTTTGTATTGCACCAGATTCAGTGGCACAGTTAAAATCTCCTTCCCCCAACACGTCACATGAATATTCAGGTCAGGTCTGACAGGAAGATCACTGCAAATGGTAGGTCATATGAATAGTCTTGGGTCAAGGAGTCCCTGGAGGTAAAAACTGGGGAGGAGGGAAAGAGAGAGAGAGAGAGTGGAAGACACCACTCTGTGAGACTCTGGGAAAATAAATTAATGAAATGCATGATTTTGTTGCTTTAGTTAATAGTATGGGATAAACACTGCTCAGCTCATTAATACATTATATATAATATAACAATAGAGTGTATGTGTGTGTATAATATGAATAATTATTTGAACTATGCCCTCTTTGATGGACTCTGCCTTTCAAGAGTTGCTTACCCACGTGATGTGTAAATAAATGCAGAACATTTACACACTAAGCAAAAGGGGTTGTCAAGTAAGTGCAATTTATATGGTAACAGCATAGAAAACTACATTCCATAAAGCGTTGCCTGGAGTCCACATGTAGCCTTCCAAAGCTCCTAACGTAGCCTGGCACAGCACAAAGCTTTATGAGTCAGGGACCAAGCCTGAATCCCTGATGACTTCAGAATTGATGAAAACTTCTATAAACTATCAGGTCAATCTCAAGCCTATATAACAAGGCAATAGTCATTCATTAGATTGATTGCAGTGATGTTTGGAGCTGCAATACTTGAGCTGAAATTACACTATTTATTTATTCAAGTTGCCTAAGTGCTGGTAATATGTTTGGCTTCCTTTTGTTGCAGTTTCTAATAGAAGACCTGATCCTGCAAGGTGCTGAGTGCCCTCAACTGTCATTGATTTCCATGGGAGAGGAGGGTACTTAGCATAACAGGATTGGATCTCAGTTAACAGGCAGTTTACTATTGGCTAGCAGGGCAAAATTTTTTGTCAAAACAATTTTCCATCAAAAATACCATTTCAACTAAACCATTTTTTGTGTGTGAAATAATATAATTTTAATATCATCCTGTTTTTATGGATTTTGGAATAGAAAGTTTTTTGATTTTTTTTTTTTTTCATTTCGAAATGACTTTGTTTCAACATTTATATTTTATTTTACATAAAAAAATTAAATTGAAAAATGGTCAAAATGGAAATGAAATATTTTCAGTTTATCAAAATAAAATGTTTTGATTGATCCAAAATGACTATTTTTAAAATTTAATTTTGCAACAAATTTAGAAATTTTGGCTTTCCATCATGATTTGGGACTTTTTTTTTTTTTTTTTTTAAACATCCTAAAATGTTTCACAGGACAGAAAATCCATTTCCTGCCGATCTCTAGTTTTAAGGTTTGAATTCCTTGAGATGAATATGAAGTGTCCTACTTTCTAAGGGGTAGCTGTATGTCCACAATGAATGTAGACTATGTCAGCCATCCAGCATCAGACCACTCTTAAACAGTCCTAGTCATATTCAATGGCATGGCATGCTGGAGGTTAATTTAAACTAAAAGGAACTTTTTAAAACTTAAACTTCTGATCTTGCCATTTTGGTTAGAGACAAAATGCTGGATCTGATATTATATTTCATCTTTAAATTCTCCTCACCCATCAGTCAAACCAGTGGAACAGAACATGGAAAGAAGAGTGTATTTTATATGGTAACAGCATATAAAACTGACAATATCTGTAAATAATGAAGAAATATTTCCTTACGGTAAGGTCAGTTACACTGTGATATCTTCTTAAGGAAGCAATGCAGTTGAATCCTTGTCACAGGAGTTTTTCAGACTTAGACTATACAAAGCACTGAGGAAAGGCTTGAAGGGAATAATCCTACATTGCCACTGAGATGGACTGGATGATTGACCAGATCTTTTCCATCTTTAAATTAGCAACCCGCACACAATGCACGCTTCTCTTTATATGGTAGGTCAACCCTGATCTCTAAGGAATACTTTCACACTAATGTTATAGAATACATAAGCATTTTCATTAACAAATTTGACATGCCTATTTACTCACTGAAATAAATTTACTCACTGTACTACAGGGTTGTACCTACCCTTTTCTTGTGCTCTTCATAGTTTGCTTTGTCCCATTTTTGCTGAAGATATTTGTTGCCACATGGTAAAATTGACTGGTAGGCTCTATGCATCTTAAACAACATAAAGCATCTCTATAACTGAGGTTCTTCTAAAGAATGAGTGATATCACTCTGAGCCTTCTTAAGCATAGCCCTGGAGACTGGGTATGTTTGCAGCAGGTCATGTGGTGGTTGTCATGGTATCACTGCTAAGAAAAAATTGAATAGCCAGTGGTAGCATTTTAAACAATATGTTTAGAGCATAATAAACAAGAGCTGAACATCTTAGCAAAGGATTCCAAAGGGTATCATCTCAATATATTAAATAGCTTAGCAATTATACTTCACTGGTCATGCTTAGCTCTGCAGTGATTAAGGAAAGACAGTGTCTCAATATGATATTATTAATACTTTATGTAGCACCACAGATGTAGAAGAGTCTATATAACAGATAACATTTGTCAAGCTTACAGTTTAAAGGCATGCGTCACCACAATACAAAGCAAACACATAGTGTGGGGTATAGTCTTTAGAGCTGCATTAGCGTGTTAAAATATACATCAATACTAACATGCTTGCTTTGATTTGATAATAGCCCAATAACCTCGGTTTGTCGTAATATCATCTGATCACTGGTGAACTGGAGGAAGCTCGCAGGAGTTTGCACAAGCCAGTTGTTAATAGATCTGTGTCTTGTTTAACTTGACCATTTACCATCTAACTTGGCTTTTATATTTTGATTAATTTTGTTTTAGATCAGAAGGGAGGGGTGGGAGGTTTCTCCTTTAGAAAAAGCTATATGAAATGATGCCTCAACAAACAGAAACAGTAGTAAAAATAGAACCTTTGCACATACTAATTTTGATCTGTGAAGCAGACATTTTCCACTCTCTCACGAACAGTTAAGGGAATTGAGAAGTATGAGTTTGGCCACTGGAGAGCTCCAATCATTTTTGATTAATATAACAAATATCTGGAGAATATCTGTCTGTAAAATTAATAAAGAATACAAAAGCTGTAAAGTTCAAATAAAGCCTTTCACTTAGTTCAAGCTAAGGTCTACGTGTATGCACTAATTCATGAAAATCAGACATTACAATATTGTGGTTTTTTTTCTTGAACAATCAGCATTGCTTAAATATTTTTAGTGAGGCCCTGATTTGCTCTGTGGAATTGTGGCCTTAATGTGTTTTGCATAATAAATCATTTTAAGTGCTGGGAATGTAATAATCTATTAGGGCCTGATCCAAAGTCCATTAAAATCAATGGGAGGCTTTCCACTGAGTTCAGTGAACTTTAGATCAGGCCCTGGGGAAATGAGAAAAATGGATTGTGGAAACATGGCAGATCCAGAATTGGCCCATATTCTCTGCTCCACCTGAGTTTGTTTTGGGAAGTAAGGGAGGAGGAGGAGGAGGAGAAGTGACCATAAGCCATCTCTGTGGCCGTTTCCTACATTGCTGTGGCCATCCAGGATGCTGATCCAATCTTGTGTAAAAAAGTAGAGAAGGTTCAAGGCTTCTCACCTTTAATGACCAACTACCTCTGGTCCCAAGGCGCTGTTCCAGCAGCTGCAGATTGCTGGAGCATAGACATCCCTTAGCCACACACCCTTTCCCAGACACACCTTCTGCGCTGAGGGCTAGGAGGAGCGTAATTTAGGCAACACTACTGGTGGCCATATACTCCCAGCTGGGAGTATCTTCCACTTGTTAACGCATGACATTTTCATTAAGTAACTAGAATGATATAAAATTAACACGGCACACATTAAATGGATTAAAAACTGAGTGATAGGTCTCAAAAAGTAATTGTAAATGCAGAATCATCATGAAGCAGTGTGTTTCCAGTAGGGTCCCTAAGGGACAGGTTTTTGGCCCTATGCTATTTAACACTTTTATCAGTGACTTGGAGGAAAAAATAAAATCATCACAATTAAAGTTTACAGATAACCCAAAAATTGGGGAAGCAGTCAGTAATAAAGAGGACAGGTCACTGATACAGAGCAGTCTGGATTGCTTGGTAAACTGGGTAAAAGCATTTTAATACAGCTAAATGTAAATATATAAACCTAGGAAGAAAGAATGTAGGCCTTTCTTACAGGATGGGAGACTCTATCCTTGGAAGAGAGACTCTGAAAAAGATTGGGGGGAAGGGGATGGATAATCACCTGAACATGAGCACCTAGTGTGACACTCTGACCAAAAGATCAAATGCAATCCTGGAATGCATAAACAGGAGAATCTCAAGTAGGAATAGAGAGGTTATTTTACCTCTATATTGGACACTTCTACAATCACTCTTGGAATATTGTGTCCCATTCTGGTGCCCACAATTCAAGAAGGATGTTGATAACCTTGGTTTTGAGAAGAGCCATAAGAATGATTAAAGGATTAGAAAACATGCCTTATAGTGATAGACTCAAAGAGCTCAAACTATTTAGCTTAACAAACAGAAGGTTAAGGGCTGACTGGATTATAGTCTGTAAGTATCTACATGGGGAACAAATATTTAATAATGGGCTGTTCAATCTAGCAGGGAAAAGTACAACATGATCCGATAACTGGAAGTTGAAGCAACACAAATTCAGACTGGAAATAAGGTGTAAATTTTTAACAGGGTAATTAACCATTGGCACAATTTACCAAGGTTCATGGTGGATTCTCCATCAGTTAACATTTTAAAATCAAGATTGGATTTCTTTCTAAAATATATGCTCTAGGAATTATTTTGGGGCAGTTCTATGGCCTGTTATCTAGTCCAATGTTTCTCAAATGAGGCCACAGCCTCCTGGGCGGTGATGGGAGGGTGGGGGGCAAAATAGCGGCCCCTCCCCTCTCTGTTGCTCCAGGATGCACCACCTTGGTGTTGATTGCTGGGGCCACCAGCAGGGGTTGGGCCCTGCCCCCCTCTGAAGGCTGCTGGGGCACAACTCTGGAGGAGCAGGTGGCCGGTGAGATCCTCAGGGGTGGCAGGGCTCAGCTTTTGGGCTTCAGCCCTGGGGTAGTGGGATGGCAGGCTCTGGCCGTGAGGCTTCAGGCTCCAGCCCCCTCACTGCCTCCTCTGCCCCTCACCAATCCCCTTCCGAGTCACCCCTGGCCCCCACTGCCTCCCCCATCCAGGGCTTAGGGTATGTCTACACTACGGGATTAATCCGAATTTATATAATTCGAATTTGGGAAACAGATTGTATAAAGTCGAATGTATGCGGCCACACTAAGCACATTAATTCGGTGGTGTGCGTCCATGTACCGGGGCTAGGGTCGATTTCTGGAGCGTTGCACTGTGGGTAGCTATCCCATAGCTATCGCATAGTTCCTGCAGTCTCCCCTGCCCATTGGAATTCTGGGTTGAGATCCCAGTGCCTGATGGGGCAAAAAACATTGTCGCAGGTGGTTCTGGGTACAGCCTCACCCCTCCCTCCCTCCATGAAAGCAACGGACGGCAGACAACCATTTCACACCTTTTTTCCTGGGTGAACACTGCAGACTCCATACCACGGCAAGCATGGAGCCCGCTCAGCTCAAGACAGCAGTCATGAACATTGTAAACACCTCGCGCGTTCTCGTGCAGTTTATGCTGAGCCAGGACCAGAAAAACGAGGCGAGGAGGCGGCGGCGACAGCAGCGCAGCGACAAGCGTGATGAGGACATGGACATGGACACAGAATTCTCTCAAACCGCGGGCCCCGGGGCTTTGGAGATCATGTGGTTAATGGGGCAGGTTCTATCCATGGAACGCCGATTCTGGGCACGGGAAACAAGCAAGACTGGTGGGACTGCATAGTGTTGCAGGTGTGGGAGGATTCCCAGTGGCTGCGAAACTTTCGCATGCGTAAGGGCACTTTCATGGAACTTTGTGACTTGCTGTCCCCTGCCCTGAAGCGCCAGAATACCAAGATGCGAGCAGCCCTCACAGTTGAGAAGCGAGTGGCGATAGCCCTGTGGAAGCTTGCAACGCCAGACAGCTACCGGTCAGTCGGGAATCAATTTGGAGTGGGCAAATCTACTGTGGGGGCTGCTGTGATGCAAGTAGCCAAAGCAATCACTCAGGTGCTGCTACGAAAGGTAGTGACTCTGGGAAATGTGCAGGTCATAGTGGATGGCTTTGCTGCAATGGGATTCCCTAACTGTGGTGGGGCGATAGATGGAACCCATATCCCTATCTTGGCACCGGAGCACCAGGGTACCCAGTACATAAACCGCAAGGGGTACTTTTCAATGGTGCTGCAAGCACTTGTGGATCACAAGGGACGTTTCACCAACACCAACGTGGGCTGGCCGGGAAGGGTTCATGACGCTCGCGTCTTCAGGAACACTACTCTGTTTATAGAGCTGCAGCAAGGGACTTACTTCCCGGACCAGAAAATAACCGTTGGGGATGTTGAAATGCCAATAGTTATTCTTGGGGACCCAGCCTACCCCTTAATGCCATGGCTCATGAAGCCATACACAGGCAGCCCGGACAGGAGTCAGGAGCTCTTCAACTACAGGCTGAGCAAGTGCAGAATGGTGGTAGAATGTGCATTTGGCCATTTAAAAGGTCGCTGGCGATCGTTACTGACTCGCTCAGACCTCAGCCAAACCAATATCCCCATTGTTATTTCTGCTTGCTGTGTGCTCCACAATCTCTGTGAAAGTAAGGGGGAGACCTTTATGGCAGGGTGGGAGGCTGAGGCAAATCGCCTGGCTGCTGATTACGCGCAGCCAGACACCAGGGCGATTAGAAGAGCACACCAGGAAGCGCTGTGCATCAGAGAAGCTTTGAAAACCAGTTTCATGACTGGCCAGGCTACAGTGTGAAATTTCTGTTTGTTTCTCCTTCATGAAAACCCGCCCCCTTTATTGACTCATTCTCTGTAAGGAACCCCCCTTCCCCTTCCCCCAGCTTGCTTTCAAACCAAATAAAGTCACTATCGTTTAAAAATCATTTATTCTTTATTAATAAATTATAAAAAGAGGGAGGGAACCTGGGTGGGGTTTGGGAGGAGGGAAGGAAAAGGCCACTAAAAAAAGGTTAAAAAAATGACAGCCTTTTGCTTGGGCTGTCCACTGGG